AAGCCAGATGTAGCCGGGCTCCAGGCTGCACAGCTGTGCCGAGAGCCCGCTGCCAGCTCTCTCTGGCTTCAAGCAGATCACGTCTTCCCTCTGAGCTGCAGCTCCTCATCAGCATCGGGGAGAAGAAGCTCAGGTCTGGAGAACAGTGGTGAGGATTTTTTTTTTAAAGATTTATTTATTTATTCATACAGAACTGGGGTACAGACCAGAGATGCAGAGGGTGAGAGGACTCACCAGGGACAGAGTGGGGAGCAGAACAGGCAGATTTACGAAGTACACTGCTGAGGGGAGCAGCGGGCAGGCCAGGAGAGGTCTTCCTTGCCATGTGGATCTCCTCCGGGGCAGGCGGGAATCGAACTCATGTGGAAGTGGCTTAAGCTTTCCAGTGCTGTGCTTTAACCCGCTGCACCACCAGGGAGGGCCGAGGATTTTTTTTTTTTAAAAACTTGATATATACACAATCCAATACTACTCAGATATTTAGAGAGAGAAAAGAAGATGCAGTCCTACTATTTGCAAAACATGGTCTGAGCCCAGTGAAATAAGTCAGCTGGAGAAAGACAAACACCCTATGATGTCACTCCCATGCAGAACATAAAGAACTAAGCAAATGAGTGGGCTACATAAGACAAAACAAGCTGCGGACTATAAGAACAAAGTAGTGGTTACCAGAAGGAAAGGGAGGGGCTGAGGAAGGGGTGAAGATGGGGGGCGCTAGATAAATGGGATGATGGGGGGGTCATCTATGATGACAGTTGGCACCTAGAATGCTGGTACAAACATAAGGTAGTAAATGAGATGTTGATTTCAAAGGCTGTTATGACTGAACCTTACATAATGTTTCAAATCACTATGGCTCCTATTGTTAAAAAAAATCAATAAAATGAGCAGAAAAAGTTTTCATAAATGATGGAGCTGAAGCACCTGGCACACTGCCAGGCACCTAGAATTAGCTCTGGGTCCATTCTCTGGCTCCTCCCCTTGCCCAAGCCACAGTGATCCTGGATCCACAGCGATCTGGTGGCTGGTGACTTGTATTGGTGGATTGCACTAGACACACAATTTTAAATACAGGCAACTCTCATCACTCACAGTAGTTATGTTCTCTGAAGTTGCTACAAAACTTGAAATCGCAAATACTGAATATTGCCCCTGAGGAAATAGAGAGTTTAGTTCTGTGAGGTTCCCGCCAATGTGTCCCTACTAATCGATACATAATTTTGTTACATGTGTATTTCTGCTTAAAAACACCTGATTTAATACAAACCTTTGATTCACTAACATTGAACTCACTGCCAGGTTCACGCTCACTCATGCCTGAATGAACAATTACCTAACAAACATTTTCCTCCCCAAGGCACATCACAAGCTTAGGGATCCTGGACAGCATAATATGGTGTTTTGGGGCCCCTGTAAATAGTAAAAGGAGAAAATTGAGGGAAAACTGGGGCTGAATAGACCGTGAGAAAGATACTAGTCAGTATGAGAACTGAAGCAAGAAGACAGAGAGTCACCTTGTTCGACCTCAGCTGGGAACATCTGGCCCCTGTGTTTTCACAAAGTGGAATCGAAATTTATTGCATATGTCTGTCTACAAATGACTACAAAAGCATCTCAAGTATTGATCGGTATGTTACAAGTAAGTTTGCAGTTGGTGAATTTGTAAATACAGAATCCACAAAGAGAATCAACTTCATTTTTTCCAATTATAAAATTAAATAATAAGCAGCAATACAATATAAAAGTTAAGCCCCCTCCCTACACACACACACACACACACACACACACACACACTCCTAGACTAAGGATAAATTTGACTAGAATTGTACAGGGTGTAACTGTGCATGCTTATGCCTGCATGAGTCTGGGTCTTCCTTTTGTTTTGTGGGGGTTTTTCCCTCTCCATTCAACATTACCTCTTGGTAATTAGAAAAAATATGTACTTGAAGTTATTTTTTGAGTATGAATAGAAGCATGCATTTCAGTCACGACCTCCAAGGCTGGGGAAACATCCAGAAAGAGCAATGACTGGACAGACTTGAATAGAGCCAACTGTATGAGTGCTCTGCATCTTAATGGAGATGGAGTAAAGTCAGAAGAACAGCTCGAAGAGGGAAAAGACAGAAAGCTGGGAAGTTTCATGAAAGGTCAGAGATTGTGCCTTTCACCCACAGAAAGCCATATTCTATACATTTGGAAGAGACTGGAGTTAGCATAGTAAGAGGGGCTTTTCTGCTGAAAGGATTAAGACAATAGCATAAAATAATCTAAAGCATTTCCTAAAAACAGCTATAGGATAGCATGAGGTAAGCTAAGCAGCTGCAGCAGAGACCATGTCTGTGGAAAAGGGAAGCGTATTTCTCCAAGCTGGGGTGCTAGGTGGCTCATTTCCATGTACTCACTCGGGAACCAGGTTTCTTCTTCATGTTTGCTCTAGTAGCTGCTTTTTGCATAATTGAGGCTGAATCCTGGCATCTGTGTCCTCCAACTTGAGAGAAAAAGAATTAGAACGTGGAAGGGCAGAAGTCAATGCCTTAAGGACCATTTCTATTTACATTCTGTCAGGGAAAACTTGGTCACAAAGACGCACTAGACTGTGAGAGCAGCTGAAAGTGTTCTCTAGTGAAACAGTCGTTTCTCCAGTTACTACACTGCCACAGAAGAAGAGGATGGAATTGCATGGATAGCTAGCAACTCACACATCTCCTTTTTCTGAACCTCAGCATCTTCCTTGATAAAAAAGATCTGCTCAGTAAGGTTGCTGTGAGATGCAAATCCAGTAACTTATGTGAGAAGGCTCAGTAAGTCCTACTGGGCTTGACAAGAATGAGTCACTTCTTTCCCTTTGGACTGCAAGCTCCTGGCAAGCTGGGGGTCATAGTTTCTCCCATCCCCTCCCACAAGGCCTGCCCATAGTCACCATCAGTAAGTGCCCTTAAGGGCTATCTCTACTTAATTTTACTGGATAGGACTTAGTCACAAGTCTGCCATAGCAGCTGGAAAATGCTGAGCCTAGCAGGCCAGCTACTTCTCCAGACACTATGTTTCGATAGAAGAGATGGCTTATATATTGAATAAGTGAAGTCCACCATTTCATCCATTCATCAGGTCTTCTTTTATTTCACTTCAAATGCTTCAATAATGTGGTCCCTGGCCTTTTTTTTTTTTTTAAAGATTTATTTATTTATTCATACAGAACTGCCTTTTTAAAAATCAAAATTGGAAGAGCACCTCGGTGTCACCTGGGCTTTACTTGTTGCCAAGTCACAGCACTAATAAGCCTGCAAATCGCTAAGATGGACCAGCTCACACCAGCAGCTTTTCTTCCCTGGGGCACCTGGCTGACTGCATCCTCAGGCTGGGAGCAAGAGGCCTGCCGCACTTGTGAGCATTGCCATCAAACACATCCACGCCCAGCAAAGGGAGTTGTATTTCTGAGCCTGAAAAGGCCCTTTGCAGAAGCCCCCTCCCACCATCGGCTTCCACTCTGGTTTCTGTGTCTTTTCCAGCCAGACTTATTCGCATGCCAAACCTAAATGACCACCAGCGAGACAAATGCAACTACCATAGCAAGAACTTGGACCAAACAAGGCTTCTGGAGAGAGGATGGGGGGGGGGGGGTCAGCCTTCTTTTGATCCTGAGGATAAGGGGCCACCTAAACAGTCAGAGTTCTGGCTGCACGAAAAAGTCCAGGAACGGCTATTGTTTGAGTAACCAACCCGTTTCTGGCAACAATGAAGACACTGGCCACATGATGGTGAGATGGAGGACACTTAGCAGACACAGGAGTGAACTTCAAGCTGTTTCTTAAATTAGACCGCAGTAAAGTTCAAATCCACTGAAGACATTTCTGGAGGAGGCAGAAAATGGGGAGCCACCTTCAATGCCTCCTTTTCGCTCAACACCATATCAAATTCATAATATAACCCCACCGTGTCTTTACTTTCAGCAGGGGGACCTTCACGCCTCACCCACTCTTGCCGCCCCAGCTCAGGCCTCACCTCCTGCAGGCACTGATGATGGTGACCTAACTGTGCCCAGTCCCTCTACTGCGATCCACTTCTCCACGGCTGCTTTTCAGGCACACACCTTTCCTGTGTGCAGAGCACTGCAAAAAACACCGACCCTGATGATGGCGATGAGCATCTTCCTGACATGCCTATCAGTCATTCCCGGGCTTGGGCAGGAGATGCTTTACTAGACACTCAGTGCTCACCACCTCACCCCAGACTTTTCCCTCCCTAGCCCACCCTAACAGGAATCTTGCATTTCCCCCCAAAATATCCCCTCCCCTTTCACGCCTCTATGATTTTGCTCAAGCTGTCCCCTCTGCCCAGAAATCCCTTATCTCCTCTCCATCTGGCATATGAGACAGGGTCTCCTATTACTTTCTCCCTCTCTCCGCCTCCATCCCCTCCCCAAATACAGCACTCCGGAAAGGTCTGCTGAATGGAGGGCATCTTTCAAGCCAGGCCACAGGCAGGGTCAGGCTTTCCTGACCCTGACAAACGTCTGCCCCAAGCTCTCCTTAAGAAAGTGAAGAGGAAATGGGAATGTAGGTTTTAGGAGTGAGAGGAGTCTTGAACTTGTCCTGTGCAAGAGAACATTCCTCGAGTTTTATTTTTATATTTTATGCAAAAGTTCTATCCTATGCAGATTATACAACAAAGTTTACATTGTTTTAATGTAAAATATTATTTTCCCCAAATCTTTAAATTGATGATCCCAAAAGATGTTATTTTCTCAAACTGGCAGTCTCCCGACCCCCACCCGCCACAGGGAACGTAATTGAGATCTGGATGCTACTCCATATGCAGACCCTGAAGGAACAGCTGGGTTTAGCTCCCGCGGGAGCGGAAGCACCGTGTGGGTAAGGAGGGGGGTCTGCAGGCTGCAAGCCCGGTCGCGTCCCCTAGGCTCCCCCGCCCGCCGCGGGGGCGGAGCCGCCTGGGCCCCGCCCCCGGGGGCGGGGAGGGCGCCACGGCCGCCTGCAGCTCGGGTTCGGCTGGTTCCGGGTTGAGCAGCTGCGCTGGGATCCGAGCAGTGGCTGCTGAGTCGGCGAAGGTAAGGGGCATCTCGGGCCGGGCCTGGGGCCGGGATCCGGCAGCTGAGCGAGGCTGCACTCCTGCCTTCCTCTGCCAGTATAGCCGCGGGGCGGCTCCGCCTGGCTTCCCTCTCCGCCAGAATTCTCCATCCAGCTCTCCCCCTCCCCCACCGCACCCATCCCGGGATTTAACCCCTCAAGTCCAGCGTTCCCCGGCTGGACCCCCTTATTTCAGCACCCCCATTCCTTCGGACTGTCCCTTTCCCTAGAACCTTCTTCCCAGGAGGTTCCCAGCAGAACCTTCTTCTGCTTCCCTCGAATACCCAGGGCCCCCCGTCTCCAGCATCCAGTGCCCACTACCTCGCTATCACCACCCCCCGAGCTCGCATCCTGGGCAGCGGCAGGGCACCCGCACCCCTTCCTCGAGTTACCCACCTCCGGGACAGTCCTTCTTTCTTCTCCGGGAGCTCCTACCCCAGTCCCTCCCGCACCCACCCCTCCGTGGCGCCCCCGACAGCGCCGCGCGCTCTCAGCCGCGCCCCCTACTCGGCCCCCCTCCCCGCCGCCCCCGGCGCCATGGCGTGCAGCCTCAAGGACGAGCTGCTCTGCTCCATCTGCCTGAGCATCTACCAGGACCCGGTGAGCCTGGGCTGCGAGCACTATTTCTGCCGCCGCTGCATCACCGAACACTGGGTGCGGCAGGAGGCTCAGGGCGCCCGCGACTGCCCCGAGTGCCGCCGCACGTTCGCCGAGCCCGCGCTCGCGCCGAGCCTCAAGCTGGCCAACATCGTGGAGCGCTACAGCGCCTTCCCGCTGGACGCCATCCTCAACGCGCGCCGCGCCGCGCGACCCTGCCAGGCGCACGACAAGGTCAAGCTCTTCTGCCTCACGGACCGCGCGCTGCTCTGCTTCTTCTGCGACGAACCGGCGCTTCACGAGCAACACCAGGTCACCGGCATCGACGACGCCTTCGAAGAGTTGCAGGTGAGCGGCTGGGCGGCCTGGGGTGGGGGCGGGACCTGGCGGGGCGGGGTCGGGCTGGACCACCGGCTGGGTCCGGAGTTGTCGCTGGGCGGAGCCACTGGCCGGGTCAGTGCCCTATCAGCATTAGTAAGGGGCGGGAACGGGGAGGAGCCGGCGCCAAAGAGCGGGTACTGGAGGTGGGGCCATGGGCTGTCGGGACCCCGCGGGGCCTGCGGGGTGCAAGGGACGAGAAGGGTCCGTGGTTGGGGGTGGGTCTCCGGTGGGGTGGGTCGACGGAGACAGATGAGTTGGAACTGGTCCAGGTACTAGACAAGGCAGCCGTGGGATGGGGCCGAATCAGAGCTGGGCAAGGTCAGAGGCACTGGCAGGGTGGTGGGGCAGGAGACAGTGCCTGGTATCAGAAAGGTCTAGGACAGAATTGACAGACAGAGATCAGGATGTGGCCATGGTCAGGGCCAGGCAGGGGGCTGGACCACCGTCTGAGAGTGGGGCTGAACTGTATGGAGGTGAGCTCTATCCATGGGAGGAGGGGGAGGGAGAGGGCGCTCAGTCAGGTGTGTGTCTGGACCTGGAGGGTTAGTACCAAGGCCAAGACTAAGCCCCCAAGGTGAATTATTTGAGAAAAGGGAGGGGGAAGTGGGTGTGTGGAAGTTTGCAAAGGCTTCCTGTGACCTCCGTGGTTCTGTTAACCACATCAGAACCTTTGAGGATTAAGTGAAAAATATATGAAGGATGACTTAAGGCATAGTCAGCCTAGGACTATAATTGGTCTTCCCTAAACCTCTTATGGTCACTGACCAACTCCTACTCAACTCTCAATCCCCTCCTCAAATGTCCTCTCTGTGAAGCCCTCCACTGGCCGAAAACAAACAAACAAAAAAGCATAACTGCATTCCCCCAAATGCTTTTTATTAATAAGTGTTTTAAAAATACTGTCCTAATATCAGCTATCTCTAGGAAATATAGTATATACTCTATAACACTCTTGGATGATTCTCAGTGTACATTTGCATATTAAAGTCTTGGAGAAATCTTCTCACAAAGAACTCCATTTTACTGTATTTAATAAAATGGTTCCCAAGCTTATTTGAGCCTGGAATCTTTCTTTCAAGAGAAACCATTTCAATCTGGCAGTCCCTGTCTCTGACCTTGGAATACCAGTCCAGTGCACCATTCTCCAAGAGCCAGGACAGTCTCGTTCACTACAGCTGTGGCCCCAAAGCCTGGCACAAGGACTGGTCCACAGTACCCATCAGTAGAAGTTGAATGAATAACCAACATTGGGCCTGAGCTGGCCCAAAAGGCAGAATCTTTGTAGCCAGAAGGTTTTTCACTTAAATATTTCATGACAATACAGTGCGCTCATTCAAAGGTAGTAAGCCCTTTGCTCCTCAAGATACTGAAGCAAGAGCTAAATAACTACATTTCCCTGTGTCTGGGTGGTCCTCGCCCCCTTTATACGTAAGGGCCCTAAGTCAGTCTGCACCTACAGACGCCCATGGAGATGAACAGGGGCACATTTTCACCACCCTTCCTCCCTGTCGCCTTCATCCCCAAACCATGACTGACTCCCTTCCAGCCTGACCCTCTGAGGCTGGAGAGAAAGAGCTGGGGCTCTGGAGTCTTGCAGAAAGCTAGCATTGGCCCTCTACCCCCAGAGCCAAGGACTGGTATCCCCATCTATCCAGCTGTGAAGTCACGTGAACAGGGAGGAAGAGAGAACCTTTGGTAGGACCAGGTACAGCTTCAGTCCATCCATGTGAGAGTTTGATGAGACTGTCTGAAACCATCCATGTAACCTCACAGTATAGAGCTGTGGAGACGGAGGTCCAGAGGAGGTCCAGTTGCCTGCTCCCAGCAGCTCTCCTCTCCTCTCCTGTCTAACTTTGTAGCTCCAAGGCCTCTGCTTTTTGAGGCTTGGTTCCTGTGTCTGCAAGTGGGGCCATCAGAAGCATTGTGCTGTGCTGTGCTGTGCTGTGTTTTGTTTTTTCAATCCATCCCTGTGCTGGGGAATGTAGGAGAAATTGAATACATATTTACTCCAAGCATTACTGAAACACTTTACTTTTGGGCTCAAAGGAAAACAGGGCAGTTCCTCCTCCCTTAGCCTCTAGGCCACTAGGCCTGTGGTCAGACAGCTTCCCTCAGCACCGCCTGTGAAACTCACCAAGTCACTTCATGTAAACCCTGCTGCCCTCTCCTGTAAATTGAGGTCAGGGTGACTCTTCCTACCAGGGTTTTCATGAGGCTGCCCTGGGATGAGTCACTTTTTGAGGTCCTGACACATGGTAGGGGCTGGATCAACACACACTCCCATTCTTCTTCCTTCTACCTGTGAGAATCCTCGTGCCCAGGTGGACCGATGCCCAGACCCACCTCTCTTGACCGAGAAGGAGGCCTGGCTTTGGTTTCTCCTTTGGGCTTGGCAAGAAGTGGCAGTGAAACACGCCTCCCCACTGAAGAGGTAAGCGCCTGGGTGAAGTTCAGGCCACTCCCCAACCTCTCAGGCCTCTCCCTCCAGGGAGAGCTATTTATGCCCCAGGAAGGAGGCTGAGCTCCTAGTCACATCCCCTCCTCTCCCAGCAGCTGGTGGTTCTGTCCCCAGAGCTCCAGGAGCCTGGACTTGGCCCTGTCTCCTCGACAATAACTGCTCAGAGCTAGCGGGGCCTTGAGGTGTTTTGGTGCAACCTTCACTTGACAGATGGGGAAATGGCAGAGGGTGAGGGAAGGGACCTTGCCCTCAAGACCTGAGGAGGCTGGGCCTGAGCTCAGTCAGGCTCACACCCTGCCTAGAAGTTGACTTGGAGCATTTACTTTTATTGTAAATCCTGGAGGCAGCAGAGCAGAAAGGTAAAGAGTTCTGGTTTTGTACTCCTGACAACACCCACCCTGTCTCTACCACTTTCTGGCTGTGTGATCTTAGGGAAGTTACTCACCATCTCTGACCTCAGGTTTCACATTGACAACATGAGAGTAATGGGGTTCTAGGACTAAATAATATGACGTTTACAAGAACTTACTGCCCGTGTCCCAACGTAAGCACTGAGTAGATAACGGCTCTCGTGTTTACATCATAGGCTGCACGATTGACATTTAGAGCCAGATAAGCCTTGTGTTGTGCAAGATCACCCTGTGCACTGTATGTGTCCCGCAACACCCCTGGCCTCTACCTACTAGATGCTTGTCGCACCTCTTCCCCCGAGTTGTAATGAGCGAAAATGTCTCCACACTTCATCAAATGTCCCCAAGCATCAAAATCAGCCCTGGTTGAGAACTCTGATAAATCCTTCTCAGTTTTTTATACTTAGCTCAAATATTACTTCCTCCTTGAAGTTGTCCCTGACCTGCCAAGCAGAACTACCCTGTATTTCTCTTTCCAACACAGGGGTCAGGTCCTGACAGCACTGATCAGCCATGTGTTCTTGGCGAGGTCACATGGCTTCTCTGAGCCTCCACCTATTTATAACATGGGCATCCCCAACCTTCCTGGAAAGGCTAGAGGCTACAGATGCAACATCAGGCACAGCATAGTGGCAGACATCTTTAAGTAGCTTTATTTTTCTTCTATTATAAAAGTGACATCATAAGCAGCGCAGTATAACATAAAAGTCCCCACCCCACAGGGAAACACAGTTAGAATTCTCTTATAGTTCTGCATAACTTTTACTATATAAATGGCATCTTATTTTCACCGCTGAGCACACCCATCACAGAGCAAAGGGGAGAATAGAGCCAGCACATCTGGGGTCCTAGCCCTCTGCCTGGCACTGGGCTTGGCACTTTTCTTGAACTACCTCATTTAATCTTTCAGGCACTCTGTTGCACAGGTGCTATAATTGTTCCTTTTACAGAGGAAATAAGTTGGGAGGCATCGACTGACATGACATATTCTGTCACCCTGCTGGTAAATGGCAGGGGCGGGCTTTGAAGCCAGTCTGACTGGGCACTCACAGTTCTTCCGAGGGTGGTTCTTGTCTTCCACCCACTCTGCTGCCTCTTGGTGCCCAGCACTCAGCACAGGGTCAGGCTAAGGACACGCTATGGATGCCAACTGATGCACCAGGCACAGGTGGCTGGATGTCATCCTGGGAGGGCCTGGCATCCAGTTGCCTGGCCAGCTCAGAGAAGGGATCAGATTCAGACCTAGCATGCTCTCCAGGCCCCACATGACCCCTGGAGCCTCACTTAAAGGCCTCTTTCATGCCAAGGGAGACAGTGGATGGATGGAAGCCCTGAGAAGCTGGGCACAGAGATCCAGAAACACCAGAGGAGGGAGCAGGGTTGGGCCGTTAGGTGCAAATCCTGGCTCAGGGCTCCTTCCACCCAAGTGGGAGATGCAGCCTTCTCTGCAGCCTCCTCCAGTCTTACATGTGAAAAAGGGAGGCAGAGTTGCTGCCTGTCCAAAGAGATAACAGAGAGGAGGCGCTTTATTTTGTGCCGGCTGGGAGGCACCCTGTGTCCCTGGAAGCAGCCTCTGCTGTTACTTTTCCTAGGAGAAGACAGATGTGTGTCAAACAGCACCCTCCATGGGGGCAGGGCTGGCTATAGGCACTTTGGGGGCAGCAGCAACACAGCTGAGCACAAGTCACAGGAGTTGAGGTTGAGCACCCCCCCACCCCCAGGATATTTATTATAGAAAGTCCCTGATGAGGCAACAACAACAGAAATAATAGCAACTCTAAAGCACAGAAGCCAAAGCTCTTTGAGCCGGGTTCTGTATGCAGGCTATGAGTCCTCACATCAACCCTTCTCCCTTTCCTACTCCTGAGTGAACCCCACTTCACAGATGAAGACACTGAGGCCCAGTCACGCTGCCAGTGGGAGGCACAGCTGAGGGTCAGACCCACCTCCATCCTCCGCACCTACACTGACACCCAGTGTGGAACCGCCAGGGGCCTCAGAAGCCACCCAGTTCTACCACCTCCCCACTTATCAGAGGGGAAACGGATTTGCCCGAGGTTGGACTCCATCCCATGAGTTGCCACTGTTGAGTTCTGGTG